ACAAGCGGGGCTGACAACCTGGGCAACCGCTCAGGTATCTATGAGAAATACTTTGGCCCTTTCTGCTATCGTGTCTGACACTGAGTCAACTGGCTCTCAAAGCCGAGTGCCCTCTTTTCAGCTAACCCCACTGCCGAAAGCCTCCTTAATTTGGAATTGATCTTAGTTTCAAACGCTGGACATTAGTCCTACAAGTCATATTCACGAGATCTTATATTTGTTACAAGCTAGAGAGACACTCTCGGTATAAGATTCCCATAAATAACAGTTAAGGAAGTTGACAGCGATGAAAACACGAGGCACCCTTGGTTGACGATCGTTTACGTGTCATAGAGCCCCTATCGCGCTAAACCCGGTGAGGACAGGGCGTTACTCATGCGCTAAACTTCGTAGGTCAGTCACGGAAGATGGTCCAGGGTATGTTTTGATCCCTGACTCTTGCATGTATTTTTTGGTCCAACGTACAGCTCAAGGAGGCTCGATTGATAGAAACCTTGGTAGCAGGTAATTAGGTTGCATCGTTTTCAGTATTGTAAAGCTTGTTTGAAGAAACAATTCTCCTACAGGCAAGTACTGTTTTTGTCGATTCCTGAACCTCAGTTAAATTGTGGAGCTCGATTTCGAAGGTATTAAACAAAACAATATCAGAGGGAGGATATAAGATAACGTTATCTTGAGTTTCGTACAAGGACGAAACGAGAATTATTTTCTTACAAATGCGTTCTAAGAAGCCGGTATCAGTTTGGTAAAGGCCTAATAATTATAATATTCTAAACTGGCATGTCATATCTATAGCATCTTTGTTGTGAGACTAGGAATATTATCTATCTATGTCTAAGAGGAAATAAAAATCCTAACACGCCATACATAATTCGCTGGGTATAACTCTCAAGCACCTAGATACAACAACCAAGCTCGCATATCTTGCACCAACCTCTGAGCAACCTCATGAATCTCTGGCAAATCCTGCCAAGATAACTCAATGGACAAATCCCCATCCCTCACCGAAACCATACTGATCTGGATCGCCGGCCCAACCACATTCCCACTCAGCGAAAACCTCGCCCTCCCCACTGCAAAGACATTATCCTCAGTCTTGCCATCTATAACACCAAGATTGGTAACCTCCCACGATAAGTCACGAGGTCTCTTCCTTAGTGACTCGAGGTAATCATGCCAATCAGATACAACCTTCATCAAGCCGACTACGTTATCGTTCACACCAGCGTCGAGCCGTTTTTCTATATCTCTGCGGATTTGCTGTGCTGCTTTCCAGATCGTGGGCTCTAGATCGCCGATGGGTTGGGCAGGCCAGTTGTTGATTCGTGCTTGGGCTCTCATGTCGCTGACGATTTCGTGGTCGAATAGGTGGGAGAGGGATGCGGTGCAGTTCTGAATGCTATTATCAAGGTCAATGGATGCGTACTTTGACGGTCGAAGCTCCTTGCGTAAGAACTTTCGATGATCTATTGCCGTTGCGACTTGAAAGGCATCGGTGTTGCCCTCATTGATGTCGACGGATAGACAGGCTAGAACGATTCCGTGGATAAGGCCTGTAAGTGTAGTATCGTTCTCTCGACATTGGCTTAGAAGCTTCTTCAAGGTGATGGCGTCAATGTCGATGGCCTTGAAGCGCGTGATGTAAGGGTCAACCTGGATAGGTGCCCACCGAGCCTTCGACTCTGTTGAGTGGAAGCAAGATGGACAAAGACCGTGCCAAATCTCGGAGCAAGCATACCCCAAGCTCAAGTTATGCTTTGCTAGTTTCTCTTGTGGTTGGGGAAAGCTATCCTTGCATATAGAAGTCGTCATGGCTCGAGATCCGCTTCGGGGCAGCGATGAAGAAATTGGGTAGTTGAGGCTCTGGAGTAGTGTTTTCTGAAAGATCTTGGCGCCCATACCATCGTGGTTAGCATGGTTCCAGACATACATCACATCCACAAAGTTGTCTGTCTTGGTCCGCATGAGACATATTCTCCATCCCGGTCTCGTCTCAATACTCTCAAATTTGGAGTCGAGCTGATACCCTAGATTCGCTTCAAATGCCCTTTCATACTCCTTCATATCCGGTCGGACATCCCAAGATACATGGTCTGCGAGATCAAGCGACGGGAGCGACACCCAGGCGGGCTTTTTCGTACTCTCGCCGACAAGACCAACTTGTAGAAGTGGAAACTGAAGCACCGTTTGGGCAATGGCTTGGTCGAAGCGGCGGAAGACTCTGTCCTGGTTATCAAAACCGTGGAGGGACGGTGGGAGTGTGTAGCGGCATGTGAGGGCTGTACTGCAGTAGTAGTCCAGGTTGTGCAGCGCTGATTCGCACAGCTCGCTAGGGTTATCAGCGCGGGTACTAGCATGGTATGTCGGGATACTCACATCTGGCCGAGACGCCGAATGAAAGACTTTGGCTTTGGACTCGATGACATTTTCTTTGCTGGTTTGTAAACTAATTGTTGGATCTGCACCTTAGAAGTAAGCTCGTCAAAACTCTTTTATACCGAAAAAGCCGTCAATTTAGTCAATGCTCCAAGCCTCAATATGATACTATTCCCAACGTCCTCGGCCCGCGGACTCGAAATTCGTCACCGTCTCGCGTTTGATCGGAGCTCGCTCTCGCTTGTCAAACGCGTTTATCCCTGTCGCTTCTGCTAGCGGAGCCCCGGCATAATAGGCTATCATTACGCAATTTGCACACTGCGCCCTGTGCCCATTTCTACTTTACTTATCTTAGTGGCCCCCGCTGACTCGGCAGTTAGCTTTTTTGCTCGACGTCGCCCTGACAAACGCTGCTATTTTCCCTCTCTGAAACAGGGTAGCACAAAGCTTAAACAGCCCCGAGCATCCGGGATTAATTGGTGAAATGATAGAGATGTTCTTCCGGAGAAGCCACTAGCGTTTTGGATACCGGGGTGATTCAAAAGGTTGATGGGGCCTGTCCCGATTGTGAAAATATCTGAATCAACTTACCTTAAACTTTCTAAATCTACTTTATCGTCTTTTTAATCATACGATCTCCTCGCTTGGGAATAATCGTGTGTTTGTTACTTTTTTGTTTCAACGGGCAGATCACCCGATCCAGTATTAGCTTTGACGCGAATGGCCATGAATAGCACGGAGAGGACAGCTTACGTGGTACAGTTTCTACAACATGAGGTGTCGAAGCTTCACTCGCGAGAAACATGCTGGCATCAATCTGGCGTCGGCGGTCTCCTAGCGCTGCTTCGTGCGAATCTCTCAGAGTCGAAATCGTGGAATAGCAGTTTTGTCTCTGGGGGACCGTATACGTTCAACGCGACGGGGAATTTATTCACTGTGGACCTTGCGACGAAGCATTTCGATGTCAATACTGTTGATCAAGATACATTCATCACGCTGACTTATGTTCATGGTATGTTCTACTCTCTGAGTGATTTGAGCCATACTGACGATTACAGCGCTATGCCTGATCATTGCATTCTTCCTGGTGTATCCCATTATTCTCCTTATGGAATCAAGTACTGTGCTATGTGATCTGATCAATAAACCCGTCGCCAAGCATACTGTTCGGAAATGGGAGTCTGTACTCCGAGCATTTGTCTTTACGCCTCTAGTCATCGCTGGGCTGGTGGCGGGAATCATCGCAATGGGCTCATCAGATCATTTCAGAACTGAACACGGGGTATGATCATTGATTCCAAACGAGCCTGACGAATACCTAGCTAACGCGTCAACCAGGTCATTGGGCTAGTTACAGTAGTGTTTGCAGGCTTCGCGTCGCTACTGTACTTTTTCGACTTCTTCTTTGGCTCAAGATTGGCTCGAACAGTCATGGGGATGCGGTGGCGTCAAAACCTCAAGTATTTTGACATGTTTGTCTGCCAAGTCATCCTCATGCTCTCTGGCTTCGTCTTAACCGATGGCTTCGACGACCTTTCCGTCATGGGCCTGTGCTACATCCAGATCTCCCTCGCATGGGCAGTGTCTATCGGTATGATAGCAGCGTTTGTCTGGAACAGCGCCATGGTCTTGATGACGGCGCAATGGTTCCTCGTCCGTCGAGCACGACCCGGCGCCGGCGGAGTCATCGCTAACGCCAACAACAGAATGTGGCGGCTCGTGCGATTCCGCCGCCGTCGTCGTCAACCGTCCCCAGAGCCCACGCAGTCATACGAAATGGGCTCCTCATCAGAAACGTCTGAAACTTGCGGTCGGGGAACAGACTGAAGCTGGGGCTGTGCTGGGATACTTATGGACGCCAAGCGTTCCAGGATAGATAGAGTTTTGGCATTTTCAGTTTAGTTTGATGATGAGACTTTTAACGATATTTTTCGCTCCGGGCATCAAGGACGCCGTGAAGAACCCTTCTCGTATGATAATTTCCCCTCAGCGGAGCCCTTGTTCTCCGGGGCTGTCACAGTAGATGAGTAGAACACAAGGCTGAGATGCAGGGCCCAGACTCTGCTGCCAAGTTCCTGACGGGCGGAAGCCAAACTCAAACCACGGAGACTGTTTTTCGGATAAGCCTGACATAATTGATGGTGTCTGATTCGTTGAACTCAAAGTTCGACCGCTTATTTTTAGAGTTGGACAACGTATCGGGCGCCCGCGGGGTGCCGACAAGGGTGCCCGCGGAGCATATTTTATGGGGGACCTTTATAAGGCTGCATGCCGGTATCCGGGCCCCGCGGGCGTTTGGAGTGTTGGCGCGGGCGGAGTAGTCAGCGGGAGTTGATGATCGTCAGTGCGGAGTTACAGCCGGGTATTATCACCAAAGTAAGGGTAATGAGATCAATGCGTTCTCTGGGAGAAGGGATGCGTAAATGGCTTGCTCAGCCTCATGATCTTTTGCCTATAACATGTCTTGAAGAAAGCTGTGTTTGAGTAGTAATTCCATCGACATCAACACCAAAACAATTCATAGCAAGCATCTACTTTAAACAGCAAGCGATTTGCTCTTTTAAGATATATCACAACTGTCTACAAACTCAAAAAACAACTAAATCTGCACCTCGGAACCCAAAATGGCAGTAAAGCAAGATTCGAAAAAGCACGACGAGAAGCGCAAGGGACAAATCCCTGGGCCAAAGGGTACATCACCTTGAACACCAATGCCGTCCATCACATGCTAATTATCGCAGGCCTTCCGATCATCGGTAGCCTCCTCGACATCGACCTCACAAACTCTCTGCAATCGGTAATTAACATGGCTAAAGATTATCGTACGTCACCGGCCACTGCTTGTTATTCCCGACCGCCGCTGACAGTGCAATCGCAGCAAATCTCTTCTCGCTAAATGTCGGAGGAAACACAGAGGTCATGATCTGCAGCCGCGAGCTCTTGGACGAATTATCTGACGAGTCACGGTTTCACAAGCTTGTTGTTGGTGGTGTTGAGAAGCTACGGCCTCTGGCTGGCGATGGCCTCTTCTCAGCGCAACATAATAACCAGGAATGGGCCATCGCACATCGAATCCTCATGCCACTGTTCGGGCCTCTAACGATCAGAGAGATGTTTCCAGACATGCGAGAAATCTCAGAACAGCTTTGTCTAAAATGGTAAGGTTGCTCCCAACAGCTAGAAGTCATGGTGCTGACCTTTACAGGGCGCGAGCAGGTTCCTCAGCTACCATCGACGTCGGAAACGACTTCACACGACTGACACTCGACACCATCGCGCTATGCACAATGGGCTTCCGCTTCAATAGCTTCTACAGCAACGACAAGATGCACCCTTTTGTCGAGAGCATGGTCGCAGCTCTCATCGATGCCGAAAAGCAATCCTTCTTTCCCGACGTCGTGCAATCACTAAGAATACGAGCCCAATCCCATTTCAAGAAGCGCGCTGCTGTGATGAAGAGCACGTGTCAGGACATTCTCGACCAGCGACGGAAGAATCCTGTTGAGGGTAAAGATCTCCTGAATGCTATGATGAGTGGCAAAGATCCCAAGACTGGGATGGGCATGAGTGATGGCAATATCGTCGACAACCTCATCACTTTCCTCATTGCGGGCCATGAGACTACCTCTGGGCTCTTGTCGTTTGCATTCTACTACCTCCTCGAGAACCCCGAGAAGCTACAGAAGGCTCGCGAGGAGGTCGACGAGGTATTGGGCGATGAGAACATCACAGCCGACCACCTCCCCAAGATGCCCTACATCAACATGATCTTCCGCGAGACTCTTCGTCTGATGCCCACAGCACCAGGGTTCTACGTCACGCCTTTCAAAGACGAAGTAATCGGCGGCCAATACAACGTCTCCGCAGGCGATCCCCTGTTCCTCTTCCTCCACATGATCCACCGCGATCCTGAAGTTTGGGGCCCTGATGCCGAGGAGTTCAGGCCTGAGAGGATGGCGGACGAGCACTTTAACAAACTCCCCAAGAACGCTTGGAAGCCTTTTGGAAATGGTATGAGAGGCTGTATCGGTAGAGAGTTTGCCTGGCAGGAAGCTCAAATCGTGAGTACCACTTCTCATTTATGCATTACCAGCTAATATTCTTTCCAAGGTTACAATCATGCTTCTCCAGAACTTTGATATGGTCAAGGCCGACCCTAACTATAAGCTCAAGATCAAGCAGTCGCTCACCATCAAACCTGACGGTTTCAACATGAAGGTCAAGCTCCGAGAGGGACGTGACTTGACCAACCTCTTCAAGAACCCCAGTCTCGCTAGTTCCAAGCAGCCCAGTCTCTCCAGTCGCAAGAACCTCAACATCTCACAGAAGGACCTGAAGCCAATTTCCATCTTCTACGGGTCCAACACTGGAACTTGTGAGGCTTTGGCGGAGCGGCTATCGGCGGATTGTGCGACATTCGGATTCATGCCTTCCAAGCCTCTGCCGCTTGATGACGCTACGAAGAACCTGTCCAAGGATGGACCGAATATCATCTTGGCTGCTTCCTACGATGGAAAGCCTTCTGATAATGCGACTGAGTTTACCAAGTGGGCTGAGGCGCTGCAGCCCGGGGAGCTAGAGGGCACTCAGTTTGCTGTCTTTGGATGCGGTAAGTCTTTCGTCTCTCCATATCTCACCTCCATCTGACGCTTCTTAGGCCACAAGGACTGGGTTTCGACCTTGTATCGCATTCCAAAGGTTCTCGATAAGTGCTTAGCAGACGCTGGCGCCGATCGTCTCGTTGAAATTGGTCTCACCGACGCTAGCACTGGCCGTTTATACCCCGACTTCGACGACTGGGCACACAGCAAGCTCTTCCCCGAACTCGCCAGCCGCCACGGTATCACTCTTGACCACGAGCCTGACTCTCTCGAACTCAGCGTCACTATCAACCAGTCCCAGCGGAACGATATCGGAGGGAACTTCAAGAGGGCCGAGGTCGTGGAGAATACTCTTCTCACTAGCCCTGGTGTTCCTCGAAAGTGCAGTCTACTCCTCAAGTTACCGAAGGATATGGCGTACACTCCTGGCGATCATGTCTTGGTTCTGCCTAAGAATCCGCCTCAGCTTGTTGATCGGGTCATGACTTGCTTTGGTGTAGATGATGATACTGTCTTGACTGTGTCGTCACAACGACCGACTTTCCTTCCGACTGGCACTCCCGTCCTTGCTTCGAACCTCTTCAGCACACTTGTTGAACTGTCCCAGACAGTCAGCCGCACCAGCCTCAAGAGACTTGTGGACTTTGCAGGCAATGATGAGACCAAGGCTGAAATCCAGAGTCTCACTGGTGATAGGTACGTTGCCGAGATCGACCAACAACGGATGTCCATCCTCGACATCCTCCACAAGTACCCCTCCATCAACATGCCACTGTCAACCTTCCTCTCCATGCTTCCCCAGATGCGTCCCCGCACGTACTCCTTCGCCTCAACACCAGAGTGGAAGCCCGGCCACGGCTCACTTCTCTTCTCCGTCGTTGAAGCCACTGAAGCCAGTGGATCAGCGCTTGCACGCCCAGGTGGATTGGCTACCAACTACATGGCTCAGCTTCGTCCCGGCGACTCTGTTCTTGTGGAGCCTCGACCTTGTGGAGTTGAGCTGCGGACTGCCATGACTGCTGAGCTCAACGTTCCTGTCGTCATGATCGCTGTGGGCGCCGGCCTCGCTCCTTTCTTGGGATTCATGCAGAAGCGATACCTACAGGCTCAGAACTCAGGCCACTTGTCCAATTCCCCCTGTACACTCTTCTTTGGATGTCGCGGCGCAAAAATGGATGACATCTGCCGCGATACGCTAGATGAGTACTCCCGCGCAGGTGTTGTATCAATCCACCGTGCCTTCAGCCGCGATTGGGACTCGCCGTACAAGTACGTTCAGCACTTGGTGGCTAAGCACGCTGATGCCTTGGCGCGACTTTGGGGACAGGGTGCTATCGTAATGATTTGCAGTGGTAAGAAGGTTTCTGACGATGTGTTTGATGTTTTGGGCCCTATTCTTCATAGCGAGGATAGAAGGTTGAACACAACCAGGGCGAGTGACTGGAAGACATGGAGGGATGGTGTTAGTAAAGAGCGGTTGATCTTGGAGGTGTTTGGCTAGGTTGGCTTGGTGACTAGTGTCTTTGTTGTATAGCATAGCATTGCGGGTTTCTTTATTGTACTGTGTAGATCTGGATAGACTTTATTTAACAACACTTAATTGTGCACGCCATCCCTTCTTCATCTGTGAGACCGTTCTTAGGGACGTGTTTAGTCCTTCTCTAGGACGATTCAAGATGCTAGGGTTCTACTTGAGGGTAAAAGTAGTTCAAATGATATGCCCTGTTTGTAATGACTAACTAATTCACCCTAACTAAATTGTGCAAACCCGCCACAATACTGAAACTGCATTCACCCCTGTTTACAGAATGTATCTGAAGTTCTTGTTCTGCACATCAGTCTCATCCACCTGAAGAAGTGTCCCATCCTCAGCGAGGTCGACCTGTCGAGACTCCTCGGGATCTCTCTTAACGCCCTGCTCATTATCGCGACGGCGGTTCTCCCAGGCAAGGTAGAAATAAATGCCCACCACAAGAGCGATGGTGATGGCATAGCAGACCATAATTGTAGTGTAAGCAGTCTGTAATGGTTAGAGATGTCTCACAGTGAATAGTAGTGTTACTCACATGGTAGCCGGGTGCCTCGGTGCTGATAAAGAACTGAGGCCCACTCAGGTTTCCAGCACAGTATCCCAGGAATATCATGGCCATGACAGTGGACTTCTTTGTGAAGCCAGCGATGTTACTAGCAGACAGTGACAGCATGAGAGGGAACGCCGGTGCTACGGCCATGATGAGCCAGAAGCCTGCCAGTCGGGAGAGTTTCTCAGCCGTAGGGAGGAGCTTGATCATCAGAATACCAGCGATGGCCATCAGGTACGTCAGAACAAGAGCAATGTGTCGAGACTTGCGGACATATGTCGTGAAAACAGCGACGAGAATGACGGTTGTGAGTTGAAAGGCTGATGCAGGAAGACCCATGAGAATGGTCTGCTTCTCATCGTAGCCGAAGCTCTTGATGACAATTGTGCTGAACTATCATGATATCAGTTTACAGCCTCGAAAAGATAACAGAAGAAAACTTACGCTAGTGGTTCCACCATTGGGAATGCAGATGATGAAAGAGAAGAAAAAGAACCACCAGGACTTGACGTCCTTCATAGTCTCGATAAACTGCCCGCGATCCCACTTCTTAGTCTGAGTAGTTCTCTGGAATTTCTTTGGTCGAAGAGCAGCAAACTCTCTCTCAGAAGTTGACAGAAACCCAGCGGTGGCAGGAGAATCAGGCAGGAAGAAGAATGTCAAGACAGACCAAGCAATGGTGATGAGGCCAAAGATGAGAAAGAGCATCTAATCAAGTCAGCAGAGTATCTAGTCATCGCAAGAGTAACTCACCTTCCACTGCTCAATAGGCCCATGGTAGCTCAGAATGCCATACGCAATCATAGCGCCAACCATGCTCGCCGACGCATTCCCCGCAAACCAGAACGAATGGCGCGATACATGCTCATGAGGCGTATACCACATTCCCGTGATGAGTGAGAACCCGGGACTGATCGCACTCTCAAACACACCGAGAAAGAAGCGTAGAACCATGAGACTAGCGTAATTATGCGCGACGGCGTGAAGAGTGAGAATCACGCCCCAGATAAACATAAGAACGCTCAGATATTTGCCGAGAGGGAATTTGACGAAGCCGAGGGAAATGGGGTATGAGGCGACGAGGTAGCCTATGTAGAAAATACTAGATGCCCAGCTGAATTGTTGGCCAACGAGTTGCTTTGCTCGTTAGTGGGTGTTTTTCTTCAGCGCTGTGAGTACATACCAGATCCTCTCTTAGGCCAAGAATAGCGCTATACGCCAAACTCGTCTCTGTATAAAGTCAATACGCGCATATCAATTGACACAGCAAACGTACTATCCAAATACTGCAATCCATAGCTGACAATAAGCAACGGCATAAGCCTACAAAATTAGCTCTGAACACCTGTCACGTCTGGTAGCACATACCTCATATCAATCTTCCTCACAAGTTTCTTCTCCTCCTCCACGGACAACGTATCAACCGTCCCGTTCGCATCAACATCCATCTCACACGAAGGCGCCGACTCTTTCATTTCTTTGCCCTCCATGATTAAAATTGCGATGTTGCAGGAGTGAGAAAAAAAGAAGGTTGAAACTCAAAGCGTTGGTGGTTTTGAGTCAGTGTCGGGGCGCAAGGGCCCAGTTATATTCTCTGCTCCTTATCACACCAGCGCTAGCCTTGTTCTCCTTATCAAATTCGGCTCCAAAATCTGGGGTCCCTTGTCTACTACCCCAGATTTGTGGCGTGGGCTGTGAGTGGTCAGTTTAATCGACGAGATAAGCCACGCTATTTATCGAGGAGATAGTGAAGATGGAGGGTTGAGAGTATCAATTCATGATGCTGTGGTCTGCTTGCTAACTAACTCGCGAACCGCCTCCATCGATATTCCCTTAGCCGACAGTGTCTTAGCCGATACCACGAGATTGTAGACGCCCTTGATAACGGGGTCTGAAATACTCGCCGAGATCCAATCTCGGTATACAGGGTCATGTGTTTCGATTCCTCCGATTAACAGAGCCCATTGGAAGCGCTCTAGGAGCTGTACTGGTCCGACGGGGATGGTGTGGTATGCTGCTGAGACTAGTTCTTGAAGTGCACGTTCGATATCAGCTGGGACTGGTGTCTCGCCGAAGAACGTGTCGCGGCTCCGATGCAGGTAGATCTCGAGGGCGTGGAAGATAGTCACAGCTACGAGGGCCATCAGTGGTGGTTTAGTAGATTGTTGGGCACAGTCTGTTGACAAGGTGAAGAGAAAGTTCTGCTCCTGTACGATGTCAGCATACGGTGGTCTCATAGATCACTATCAACTTACCTCTCGTATCTTGTCCAGTTTGGTCCTAATCTCCAGATCCTTCCCAAATACAGCCAGTTCATTACTCTGGCTATACACGTTTATCTCGTATTGTATCGTAATTAAACTGAAATAGACATCCAGAATCCTTCTTTGACTCGTCTCCGGCAGTGTCTCAGACCTGAACCACGTCTCCGTCTGTTCTGGCAATATCGGCATGCGTGACAAGAGCCATATTCGCTGCCTCGTCTGATGCTTCTGGCTAACATAACCCGCAAAAGCAGAACCGCAGCCGAAGAAACCACAGAATACATCGCGATCATAGATATACGTCAAGATGCGCGATAGCGTAACAGGTTCCGACGTCCCCGTACTCCCGCTAGAATTGGCACAAACCTCATCTAGCGAAAATGTCGTAACATACGCAAGAATCGAGTTACTCAACTCTCGCAATCTCTCCACCTCCAGAGGATCTCTTCTCATCCAGAACATATAAAGGTACAGAAACGACAGCATCATGGCGACGTGGTTCGTTGGCGATAATGTCACGAGCGCCTGGCTTAAAAGCTGCGACCCGTTCTGGAAATGCAAATACGACTCCAAAGGCGGTCTATGGCTGAAACCATGATGGATGGCTAGTTCGCTGTGTGAAAAGGCTAGAAGGAAATGTAACGCCATGGGGTTTTGGACTGCAAAGTTGAGGAAGATGGAGTGTGCTGATAGAGCGGCTTTGCGGGTTGACTTCATGGGTGCGAGGACGGTTGAGTGAAATGTCATAGCTTGGACGTCATCGCTCCCGATTGAAGGGGCAGGCTCGGTTGGGTTTGTGAAGGAGAATGAGGGGAAGAGGGAGAGAAGATCGAAGGAGGGAGTTGGGTATAGAATGAGCTGTGATGAGTCGTGGGGATATTGAGGGAGGGCGATGGGGTTCATCATGTCTTCTGGCGGTATGTCTGGAAAGGTCGTTGGTGATGCAGATACCGCTTCATTCTCCACGGATAGAACATCAAACGGGATATCAACCGGCAAACCCTCAGACAACTGCAACTCTCCAGACGGCGTCAAAGCAGGCGGCGTGACACTCTGCGAGCCTTCACTCTGCGCATCATCAATCTTGGGCACGATAGTCTGCGGCGTCCACTTCTCCCTCTGTTTAATCGGCCCCAAGCCTCTCCTCCTCTCCGCCAGCGGCTGCATCTGCGTCGCCCATCTACACTCGAGCTTGAGCCTCACGCAGCGATTGCACTGCGGCCTCGTCTCGTCGCATTTGACCTTTTTGGTCAGACACGTCAAGCAGCCTAGACTGGGTCAATAGGGACCGGTTCCGGTTTTTCCGGGGGGGCCAGACTCACCGTTTTTAGAGCGGCCGCGTTCTACGCGTTTGCGCTTCGGGGGCTGAGGTTGGCGGGAGGAGGAGGAACTGGATGCATTCTCCATGTGACCTAACTTGGCTTGACTGGGGGGGAGACCGGATGAGAAGGTCCTTATCGAATGAGTGGAAAGGAAATGGATGGCATTAGTTAATCGATCGGTTGCTTTGACCCTTTCTTTTCGGTCGTTAATCTGGAAGAACGCGACGCCCGGATCGGCCCCGCCTCTCGCAGCTGATATGTCGTCGATTAAACTGGCCAATCACAATCACATCACTTTCGAAACTGTGATACGACGAGATATGAGTGCAACAACGAACAATTTATTGAGTCTCTCTCATTCCCTTCTTATCTCGTGCTCTGTAGTTCCCTCTTCTCTATCTCCAAATTAATTCTTATCGTCAAAATGGGCAATTCCATCTCTTACACCACTTCAGACTGTCACGTCAACCTCCCAGACTCTGGATCTCTCAAAGGTCTTCAGTTCGATTCCAAGTCCCGTCGCTTCGCAAGCGTTCCCTACGCTCAACCTCCCGTCGGAAATTTACGATGGCGAAAACCTCAACCTTTTCCAAAAACACATCAATACGAATCTTCAGATGGTTCGCCTTTTGATGCGACGCACTTTGGACCTGTTTGTCCCCAGGCGAATTACTCCAAGAACGTCAGCGAGCATATCCCTAAACATGCATATAGCGAGGACTGTCTAAGACTCAATATCTGGACTCCTGTGCCTGATCCGAACGAGCCGAATAAGAAATGGCCTGTTATGGTCTGGTTCCACGGCGGTTGGTTCCAGGTTGGAGATCCAAGTCA